CACGAGATATGTATAGAGAGTCATGGGAAGAATATATAGAGAGTAATACAATAAATGGCATGCATTAGATTGCGACGCCCAATGGAAGGTAGGTACAAACACGTATTATTTATTATTTATTATTATTATTATTATTATTATTATTATTATTATTATTATTATTATCAAATCAAATATACTACCGGGAAGTTCTATTTGCACCCACCTATTTACTATTTGCACCCACCTATTTAATAGGTCAAATAGATGGTGCAAATACCAAAGTAGGTGGTGCAAATAAATGTAGTCAAAGTAGGTGGTAACATTTATTATTTATTATTTTTTAACAATAAACATTAAAAAAAAAAAAAAAATGATCGCCTTCTCCGGTGAGAAGGACTGCCTTCTCACCGGAGAAGGCAACTGGGTCGCCTTCTCGCCGGAGAAGGCAACCCACACAGTGGGCTGCCTTCTCACCGGAGAAGGCAGCCCAGTTGCCTTCTCCGGTGAGAAGGCAGTCCGTCGCCTTCTCACCGGAGAAGGCGATGGCTGCTCCGTTTTTTTTTTTTTTTTTTTTTTTTTTTTTTTTTTTAATTACATTTTGACCTCATAATTGTAAATTTAATAGGGTGGTGCAAATAACATTTTGACCACCCATTAGGCTATTTGCACCACCCATATTTACTACCTTTTTACATTTTCAAAGTGCTTTATACCTCATTTTAGTCAAAGGATGGTGCAAATAGCAACACCCATACTACCACATCACTCCATCCATCTATATTCATTAAATATACTACCACATCACTCCATCCATCTATATTCATTACGTGTTTGGGAAGAATTAATGCATGCATTTATTTTTCTTATTATTACATTTCATAGCTAGCCGCGCAAGGGTAATTAATGCTTTGAAATAGACAATTAAGATTATTTCACACATTTTTACGAAAATACATGTACTCAATTATATATATGTTACAATATAATATCTGTTCATAAATTACTAGTCAATATCACCTCCACTGAGACTTGAACCCACGACCTCTCATATGAGAGTCCGACCTTGGTGTCATTAAACCATAAGGTCTTGACAACAAGCTAAGTTCTATCAAAGAAAATCCATATCTAAACCTCACTTGAGGAAAGTAGTGTGTATATGTAAGGGGTATCCCCTTCCTTATAACAAAAGAAAATCCATATCTCTTTATTTATGGGTTTTATTCTATTTTATTTTATTTTATTTGTGAAGCTTTGAAATATTACGTAGGATCCTATATATGAACACAACACTACATGCAATGTACATCCTTTATTTTTACCTATGTATCTAAATAATTGTAAAAATTTCTGTCCACCATTCATCAAATGCATAGCTTCTCTAATATTATATTTTGATGATTTCCTATATTTAGAGATAAAGAAAAATTTTGGCATAAGAATTGCATAATCTATCTGATTGAGCAAAATGTGGATGGGTTAGGTACTACGTATGTGTGTTATTTTTTAGAAAGCTGGTAGAAATTTGCAATTATTACAATATAGTATTCATTGTGTAAACTTTGTTCTATTTTAATATTCCACAAACTACATATAAGAGATAAATCGCATTAGAAAGATCTTGTGCACAAATTCGACTAAAATGGTGAAAACAAAACTTAAACGCGTAAATTCATTGTGTACAATTGTAATTATAGGGAGATTTAGATTTATTTGTAATATGTGTCAATAAAAAAGTTTAATGATATATTTTTTATACATTAATTTTATTTGTAGAAATTAAAGGAGAAAAATAAAGTTAAATTGAAAAAAAAAATTATGTAATATAAAGGGTAATTCTATTTGCACCACCCTATTTGCTATTTATACCACCCGTTTTGAGCTGCCGTAAACTGGGCGTCCGACGAGAGAAGGACAATACAGAAGGTATCCAGGGCCGATTTTTAGATTTTTTGGCCCTGTTCGAGTAAATAAATAAGGCCCTAACAAAATTAAAATCTTTAAAACTAATACCGTAATTTTATTATCTAAATATATAACAAAAAAAAAAAATTATCCGTGCATCGCACGCACATTGCACGCATACTGCACGGATAATTTGGCAATTATTTGCTTGAATTCAAGCAAAGATAACATAAAAAAACATAATCGATACAACATATTTTATCAATTGCACTATATAATATTCGTTGTTATAATTTAAAAATTATAACAAATCTTTTCCGTGCCGCCGAGGAGGACGGTGGTTGGCTCTCTGGTACGGACTCAATGCCGTGGCCACCATCCTCCATGCGCCGTCCCACATTTAATTATATATAATTTTAAAATATTTAGAATATCAATTAGGAAACAACTAAGGCAACATAATTGCATAAATAATGACTAATGAAGAGGTAATCCTATTATTTAACGAGAGATCATACAAAAACAAATATCCTTCGCATTCAATTAACTGTTATCCTTTACTATTTTAATCTACAAAAAACAAATTTTGTCCAAAAATCCAATAAATTAATTAGGCACAAAGTTATAGGTCATGCATGTGATTAGGAACACGTCAATATTATACCACCATTTACAGAAATTAATTCCTCCTTCTCCAAATTAATTCTTCTTTTTCTACTTTTATATTGGGTGTTGCTATTTGCACCACCTTTTGGCTAAAACTGGATATAAAACACCTTGAAATTATAAAAAGGTAAAAATTTTTAATAATTAATAGGTGGTGTAAATAGCCAAATTGAATTACACTTTGTTATTTGCACCACCTAGTCAAACATCAATTAATAATTTATTAATTCAATATTTTATTAATTAAAAAAAAAAAAAAACGAAGCGTCACCTTCTCCGGTGAGAAGGCAGCCCAGTGGGTCGCCTTCTCACCAGATAAGGCAGCCCGACTAGGTGGGTTGCCTTCTCCGGGTAGAAAGCTACCTGGGTAGCCTTCTCCGGTGAGAAAGCGACCCACTGGGCTGCCTTCTCACCAGAGAAGGCAGCCCAGTTGCCTTCTCCGGTGAGAAGGCAGCCACTTTCTTTTTCACCGGAGAAGGTGACAGTTTTTTTTTTTTTTTTAAACTTTGCTGCCTTCTCTGGTGAGAAGGCAGCCCAGTGGGTCGCTTTCTCATCGGAGAAGGCGACCCAGGTAGCTTTCTACCCGGAGAAGGCAACCCACCTAGTCGGGCTGCCTTCTCCGGTGAGAAGGCGGTTCCTCGACCTTCTCACCGGAGAAGGTGACGTTTCGTTTTTTTTTTAATTAATAAAATATTGAATTAATAAATTATTAATTGAAGTTTGACTAGGTGGTGCAAATAGCAAAGTGTAATTCAATTTGGCTATTTACACCACCTATTAATTATTAAAAGTTTTTACCTTTTTATAATTTCAAGGTGTTTTATACCCCGTTTTAGCCAAAGGGTGGTGCAAATAGCAACACCCAATATAAAAGTAGAAAAAGAATTAATTTGGAGAAGGAGGAATTAATTTCTGTAAATGGTGGTATAATATTGATGTGTTCCTAATCACATGCATGACCTATAACTTTGTGCCTAATTAATTTATTGGCTTTTTGGACAAAATTTGTTTTCTGTAGATTAAAATAGTAAAGGATAACAGTTAATTGAATGCGAATGATATTTGTTTTTGTATGATCTCTCGTTAAATAATAGGATTACCTCTTCATTAGTCATTATTTATGCAATTATGTTGCCTTAGTTGTTTCCTAATTGATATTCTAAATATTTTAAAATTATATATAATTAAATGTGGGACGGCGCATGGAGGATGGTGGCCACGGCATTGAGTGCGTACCAGAGAGCCAACCACCGTCCTCCTCGGCGGCACGGAAAAGATTTGTTATAATTTTTAAATTATAACAACGAATATTATATAGTGCAATTGATGAAATATGTTGTATCGATTATGTTTTTTTATGTTATCTTTGTTTGAATTCGAGCAAATAATTGCCAAATTATCCGTGCAGTACGCGTGCAATGTTTGTGCGATGCACGGGCGGTGCACGGATAATTTTTTTTTTGTTATATATTTAGATAATAAAATTACGGTATTAGTTTTAAAGATTTTAATTTTGGTAGGGCCTTATTTATTTACTCGAACAGGGTAAAAAAATCTAAAAATCGGCCCTGGCTACCTTCTGTATTGTCCTTCTCTCGTCGGACGACCAGTTTACGGCGGCTCAAAACGGAAGGTTACCGCCTTGTTTTTCGCCACTCATGGCGGAGACCCATGCCTGTAAGGAAGCTCTATCTTGGTTGTTAGAGAAAGGTGTAACATTGGTGGACCTGCTCACGGATTGTATGGACCTACGGAACATTCTACACCTGGCGTTATGGTCGATCAATGTAGGGTGGCCATGACATCGTTTAATTATTGCACTTTAAGTTATATTTCTAGAGTTTTAAATTATCATGCTCATATCCTAGCTTCTTTAGCATTTGATCAGGACAGTTTATGTATTGAGATTCAATCTCTCCTGACTCAATCGCAGCTTTGGTTCATTAATACAATCATTGTTTGGTTGGCTTTCAAAAAAAAAAAAAAACCTCTTAATGATATGATACTACGATATAATAAAGTCAATAGTACCAAAAAAAAATACTTCTTAATAATAATTCGGGCATAAAGAATAAATAATTACTAAAATAAAAAAAAAATTGGTGCACGTGTTGGGAAAAAAAGAAATTGATGAGTTAACATTTATATTTATATTATAAGACTCTTAAAATTTGAAAACTCATCATCAATATAATTTTTAAAAATAAATAAATAACTCAACAATATTTCTAATCGATCAGCCCATCAAAATTGATTGTTTAATTCAATTTTCCCTTATACTATCTTTTTTGTTCAAGATTTTCATAACTTTGCATAATTAAAGCCAATTAAGTCATTTTCGGGCATATATATGCTATTATGTGTTGAGCCATTAATGTGCAATTCAACTATTAGTTTAGGCTTTTAGTTGAGATGGAGCACATGCTTCAATTTGGTATCAGAGCCAGATC